CGTGTTCGGCTCGAAATTGACTTGTTAAAATTAAATTGAAAAAAATAAATTTAAAATATTGGATTCGAGCCTAGATCAAATATATGCAAAAGAAAACTAATCATGATACCACACAGTGTTATGAATTAATCTTATAAATTTATTATAAATTTAAATATATATTCTGTGAAGTTTCCCTTTCGAGCAAAATTGAAAAAACCCTACGAAGGAAAACCCAACGCTGAAGCAGAATTCCGAACCGAAAGAAACGAGAGAGCAAGAGAGAGGCGAACAGCAGCTTCGAGCTCCGCCGTTGGAACACTAATGGCTGCTGCGAGCAAGCTCGGTGCTTCCAAGAAAAGGATGCGAGAGTCCTCCGCGGCGAAGGGAGGTTCGAAACCCAGGATCTCCAATCAAACAAAGGGGCCGGAGGCGAAAAATTTCAAGAAGAAGGTGAAAGCGAGGCCTCTGAAGAATAAGACTGCGAAGCCAAACCAAACCGCGAAAGCTGGGTCTGCACTGGGAGCAGTCATGGATTCCACAGGCGAACTCGGCAGTTCGAAGAAAAGGAAGCGGGATCCCGCCGCGGCGAAGGTAGGATTGAAGCCCAAGTTCTTCCAAAAACCAAAATCCTCAAGGATTACACCTTCCAATAAGATTGCGAGAGCTGAACACTTGAAGCCCTCTGAAAAGGACGTCGCAATTCCTGAGAAGGAAGCCAAAACTCCGAAATCGCCTGGCGGCCAAGGTATTGTTTTTTGCATACTATTTTGTTTGGAAGAGATGTGATTTTGATTTGAATGACTTGTTTCCATTCAAGAATCGTTTTTTTTTTCTCAATTTCTGAATCGCAGAATGGGTTTCAATTGAAAATTGATGGGTTTCATGTAGGCAAAGGCGGAAGAGAGAAAGACAAAGAGAAAGCCCAACTACACCCTTGAGAAAGTATGATTAATTGGTCAAAATTTTTTTCTTTAAACTTTTGGTAAATTTAGATCATTCATGCAGTATGGAAAAAATATAATTAGATTGGTTTACTTCAAATATATGAATTTTCTTTTTTTGCTTTGTTAATCTTTATTACTTCTTTCATGCTTGTAGTTATCAATGAATGCATTTTTGATTAGCTAAGGAGGCTATATGATATAGGGAAATTTACATACCTTGCATACCATTCTTATATATTTGCATATCTCACACCTTAAACTTTCATATTCACATCACTTTGGTGTTTTAAACCTATTCATTACAAGGTTATTTTCACTTTTAAAATGTGTTAGTTGTGCTATTTTTTATATGATATTAAAGATTTTAGTGTTATGTGTGTAAATATGAAAAAATTAGGCGAGAGATATGTAAATATATTAGAATTGTGTGCCATGTATGTAAATACCCATTAATTTAATGGGGTAAAGAAATTTTTTCATTTATAATGTTAATTTCAAACTTTAAATGTGTCTTCAAAGATTATTTATTTGTTCTAAGGGCGTAAGATATGCTAAAAGGTTTTTGTTACTTCATTTATGTGCTATAGGAATTAGCTTCACTGTGGGAAAAGATGAGATGCTATAGCATTGGAAAAGAGGAGCGATCAAAGTAGGTTTTTTACTTCACTCATTGTTACCTCAAATTTTCGATTAATAATCTGCATTGTTTAGGTTCGTAAGTGAAGCTCTTCAGAAGATGTCCGGAAAGCTTTTGGAAGTTGCCAGTTCCCATGTCTCTGCACGGGTGCTTCAAGTGAGAATTTGTTATTATTATATTTTTGGGAAATGTACATACGTTGCACTCAATTCTTATGCATTTACACATCTCACATATAAACTTTCATATTTATTTGTACAACACCTTGGTGCTTTAAATCTTGCATGGGAAGTTGTATTTCACTTTTAAAAAGTGGTATTAGTGCTTTTTTATGTGATATCGAAGAGTTGCGTGCTATGCGTGTAAATATAAAAGTTTAGGCATGAGATATGTACATTCGTAAGAATTGGATGTTATGTATGTCAATGCCCCAATCTTCTTTTTTTTTTGCAAGTTTCATTCTAGTTCATACTGATTTGGTTTGGAATTTTGTGAAATAAGTGGCGGTCTCTTATAGGCCACCCAAAACATTGCTATTTACAAATCAAGCACCGTCTTTCATTCATTTTTCAAATTCTCTCTCAAATATCAATGGTCATGATAAAACCCCAACCCATGTTTTTCACTTTTATCAAAGTCGCAATGGTTTGATCACGGCACGTGTAAATGTATCAGTTTCATAGTTCAAAATAATCATCTAGGTGCTTCATTTGTAAATAGCAATGTTTCTTGTGCGCTGTATTTAATTATCCCATACTATAATTTTACAAATTGGCACTATGAAAATTGTCTGCTTTGTATTTTAATTCTTCTTTTCAATTAGACTTGTGTCAAATACGGGTCTCAAGACGAACGAAACATTGTTTTTGATGAACTTCGGCCGCATCTTCTAAATCTCTCACGGAAGAAGTATGCAGTTCATCTTGTAAAGAAACTTTTGGATGCTGGTATGATTCAACATTTATGGAATTTATTTTGTAAATTTTTTTTAAAAAATTTTGTAGGTCCATGTTTTTCATTTTTATTGTACAATAATGTGATTTTGTTTTTCTTGTGTTTTCTTCAGCGAGCAAAAAACAGTTAGAAGAATTTATATCCTCTCTCCATGGGCATGTTGGCTTTCTAATTCGGCACACTGTTGGATCAGCTGGTATGAAAATTGTATAAAACAATTGCACTCTTGTAACTATTCATTACTGTGGACTGTATAACTTAAAATGAGAATGTGTTGTATAACTTTTCATAACTGTGGAATGTAACTTTTCATTTTGACTCGTACCAATTTTTGATCATCGAATGTAATTGAAGTTTAATTCCAACGAGATTTTGATTAATTTTCTTACCAGTTTACGACTATTTGCTCTTCAACTCGAACTTTGTTTAACATAAATAGATGCGTAGATAAATGAGATGCATTTGTGTCTAAATGCTTTTATAGAAGCACTTGAACTTTGTAATTAATTTTTCACAAAATTTATATGAGATCTTGAAAATCTCATCTAAAAAACTTGAATTTGAGAGTTTCATCATTCATGGAGCTTGGATGGTGTCTTTTATCTTCAGGAACCTCTTGTAAAACTGCATTTAGTATTTTCTTATCTTCTTTTTTTTCTTAATTTTTGAAATTCACAATACTTAACCATAATTTTATCTATTGAATTCTTAATTTTTTTTTTTGTAGTTGTTGAACATGCATATCATTTGGCAAGTGGGTCTCAAAGACGCCGTCTTTTGATGGAATTGTACTCGACTGAACTTCAATTATTCAAGGACCTCACCTTGACGAATTCTGGGAGGTAATTGTGTAAAGCCCTTGTCGAACGCAGGGCACATTAGTTTTATCCTCCCAGCCATAAATTATAAATCAATGCTAGATTATCTTTCATGTAGGCTTTTGTCAATAACAGCTTTGTTGGCATCATCCTAATTTGTTAGCTTCAACTGATGACCAACATACCTTGCATTTAGTGGATTCAAAATGACTCAGCAATTTTATTTATTTATTTTTTATTTTTTTAATAACTCTTCATTGTGTATATATAATATTGTGTTTTATGATTCCTTAAGTATATTTAGCGATCATGAGAGCACATATTTTATAGGCCATCATTTTAGTATCATAGAAAATTCCACGAACTATTTTGATCCATCCATATTTGTTGTGGTATGAATATGATATTTTTACATATTATGGAGTGATGTCATCTTGTTATGTGTGTTTTTGTTAGTTTTCTTATTCAACATCATGTGCATTCTCTCCTAACATATGCTGTCCTCTTGAATCTACATGCCCGTATGTTCATCATCGTTTGAACTCAGCGGTATTGAGCCGCTCGGCATATTTAGTTTTGAAGTTATTCTTGCTCACATTTGTTTGAAATTGTGTCAATGAGCTTAAGTTTTAGCTGTGTAGATTACAAGGCCTTATTTTGTTTAAATACAAGTAACAACTCTAGTATACATATCTTTAACGACTTGAATATGAATCACATCAACACCTTTCTTTTCTAGAACTCTTCAACACATTTCTCTTGACACCTTATTATAAGCGTTCTCTAAATCAACAAAAATCGTATGTAGATTCTCATTATGCTCTCTGTACTTCTCCATCAAACCTCTCAATAAATGTATAGCTTCCACAGTAGACTTGCCCGACATAAAATCAAACCGATTTTGAGAAACTTTTGTATCACTTCTTAACCTATGTTCAATTACTCTCTCCCATAATTTTAATGTATGACACATCAAGTTAATTTCTCTATAATTTGCACACTCTTGTGCATCTACTTTATCCTAAAAATAGACATCTTTTAAAATTTTAAAATAATAATAAAAAGTGTGGTAAGCGAAGAAATTGTTATATCTCCTAAACATTTTCACACTTCTATTGCGATACCATCAGGTCCTATTGATTTTTCACCATTAATTTTTTTTAAAGCTTCCTCAACTTCTGTTTTACTAACATGACGGTAAAAATACAACAACGACAACAACAAAGCCTTAATCCCACTACGTGGGGTCTGCTACATGAATCTTTTTTCTCCATTGCGTTCTATTTAGTGTCATATTTTCATTTTGTTCTAATAAATTAAGATCATTTTTTATTCGATAAGCCCAAGTCCTCCTAGGTCTACCCCTGCCTTTCTTAATATAAATCGAATCTAAAACTCCCAAGTCCTCCTAGGTCTACCTCTGCCTTTCTTAATATAAATCGAATCTAAAACTTCTGCTCTCCTAATTGGATCATCATAAATTAAGATCATTTTTTTATTTATTATTTTTACCGTCATGTTGATAACATGACGGTAAAAATAATTTTTTTTAAAACTAAAAATCGATCATATCTTCAAAGTTTTCATTAAAAAGTTTATCAAAATATCTCACCCACCTATGTTGAATTTTGTTATCTAAGAAAAATACTATGATTTTTATCCTTAATACACTTCACTTAACTAAATCTTTACTTTTCTTAGATCTTTGTCAGTTTAATTCATTTAATACACTAATAAAAAATATTTAAAAAGCTGTACTAATAAATAATGCTCTACATATCCAAGTAGACTATTTATGAAAAAACTGATCAAATCATCTTCTTGAACAACTCTCATTGTGATTCTTCTCCAAAGACTAGTTTTGTTTTCGATGCCTTCTTCAGCACGCTCTGGCCATGTCCTTCAACGACGCTTCAAGAATCTTCTGCCTTGAGCTCTCGAGCTTCTTAATAAAATGATGAGCCGTGATCGAGCTTATAATATGGGCTCAACATGAGCTCAAGCTCAAGCTCCATTTCACTATGACTCAAGCTATACTTAGCCCGTTTACACCCCACAAAATTGACATATTTATAGACTCTGAGACTAAAATGACCCCGACAAAATCACGGGACCATTTTGACACTTTACTCATTGTACAATACAATCCATAAGCAATGAAATGTAAATAAGTAATTATGCTATGATGACTAGTTTAACAACTAGATTAAACTAACGATAATCGTAGTCAATTCTTATCGTATTGTATAATCTACAATAAAGCAATTAAAAAATTGCCATTTTAATTCATTTAATGCTCTAATAAAATAATAATTACGAAAGCTATACTAATAAATAAAGCTCTTTGTACCGATTCGTTTTCACACAACGACCCAAGTTCGCTATTCACGTAAAAACTGATCACATCATCTTATCGAACAGCTCCCTTCGTGACTTTTCTCTAAAGACTAGCATTGGTTTCAATTCCTTCTCCCTCAAGCTTTGGCCATGACTTCCTCATATGATTCTCCAAGAAGCTTCCACGAGCTCTTGAACTTTGTAATAAAATGCCGAGCCGAGCTTGAGCTTATAATATGGGCTCAACATGAGCTCTAGCTCTTGAGTTGTCATTTTGACAGACGAGTCGAGCTCGAGTTCATTGTGACTCGAGCTTTACTCGGCTCGTTTACACCCCACTAAATTGACATTTTTGTAGACTCTGGGACTAAAATAATCCCATCAAAGTCAGGGGACCTTTTTTACACTTTACGCATCGTACAATACAATCCATAAGCAACTAAATGTAAATCATTAATTATGCTATAACACCTATTTTAATGGCTAGATTAAATTAATGATTATTGTGTTCAATCCTCCTTGTATTGTATCATTGTTGACCTCATTTTTAGTGAGGTCTAGTCTTCCTCTTAGGGTTTAGGATCTAGCCTTAGGGATCTCCCTTCGACTCCTTAGAAATGGACCTTAGAAATGGAACCCGCCTCATTCTAGAAATTCAACCCGCTTCGGTACTCTTTTGTGGTTTCGTGTGTATGGTATCGACTTCTAGCACTTAAAAGGACGAAACCGACATGAGGAAACCCAAAAGGGATTCCTATAGGACCTTTTAAGCCTTAGGGTGGTCTTTTGCACAATTCGCACTCCCGCGTCTTCGCATTTAGAGTATTCGCCACGTCCGATCGACGCAATTCACATCGCTTGCACCGTTACCTGTCGAATGCTCGAGTTAATCTTTTGAGACGATCGATCGCGGGTCGGAATTTTGTGGAATTTGAATT